TAGCTTATTGTCCATTCTTGCCATTTTTGGGAAGGTGCTTTATAGTAGACATGCTCTACAGTTTCGTATTCCCGTTCACACTTTCTGCATAGAGTTATGTCTATAGCCCCAGTATGTGGAAGTGTTTTGCTTAGTTGACACTGAACGCTTACGTGGCTTGTAGAAAGGATATAATTTTTACCAACTAGGTATTCAGGCTGGAATTCAGAACGTTGAATTTATTGGCAGCAGAAACATATCCACATAAAAAATCTATAGAATGGGGCAACTAAGCAACGGGATATTTCACAAAAGGCTCCTATGTAAATGATAAACCGTAACAGCAAATAACGGTAATCTGGCGAATTGTCGAAGGTATCATGTAATGGCGGCCAATCATACATTCTGGCTTTAAAACACATATCATAAATTCATAACTATAAAGGAAACATCGGGCCAACAAACATAGTTCTGGTAGCAATTAATGTTCCGGTAAGGGTCTAAAAATAAATATTTATTTGAAATATAAAAGAAAACAAGCTTACTTGTCACCAGATCACTCAAAAATAAATTCGTCCTGTATGCTCGACGTTCAGAAAGAGAGATGAATTTCGGGGAGGTTACCAGCGCTCGACTTTTTGAGGCCAAAATCGGAACTTACTATGAACTGCAGTTAGATCTTTGAGAAGGTAATCTATATGTTTCCGTACTTGATGGATAGGTAGTGGGATTAACATTAATTCAATATATTTATTAAGAACTACAATTTCCATGAATTATCTTTTGAAACGGTTACATTATTCAACTGAGTAACCACTTGCAGGATACCAAATAGTAAACAGCTTCAATTGTTTCGGATCTAGTATAACAATCGAAACCTGGTAGTGTATAATTGCTATATTTCACCAAACATCCGGGTTCGAGTATATGAAGAGTACATTGACTCGATTATGTAAGACGCTAGGATGGAGACTCTACCGGTCGTCATAGCTGATGATCTGAATGCGAAAGATCGTCCTTGGAACCCACGAGTGCAAGATGGGAGAGGTAAATACCTACCAGAATGGATCCGCGCCATGGGGCTTACCGTGTTAAATGACGGTTAAGGCACTTACATTCGTGATAGGTAATAGTGAATCCTTTCTGGACATCACACTGGCTTCAACGACATTTCTAAACAGGGTTGTAACCTGGACTGTTTTGGAAGAAGAAACCGCTTAGCTTACATAAGTATGTGAGTTTTGAAACAGATAGCAAAAGACAGAAACGTAAAAATGTTGATATCAATCTAAAGAGATGTTTAAATGAGAGGTTTTTGTAGATGCTTTTGGCTTGATTGGTCCGGGATGTGAGGATGTGCGTGAGTTAATTAGGGTCTAAGTGATGCACAGGACTTGGCTTGTTTAAGATCAAATGGGAGGTATGAAAGAAAATAACCTTACTGTTGGAACGAGCAACTTGAAAATCTGAGGAAAAACTGCATGAGAGTAAGAAGGAGTGCAAAAGGTTAAAAAGAGTACAAGCAGGATATTTGGAAGAAAAAATAAATGAATAAAACCAAATGCAGAATGAATACAAGGAATGAGATAATATCTAAAAAAGAAAGGTGGAGTAACCTGATTCAGGATCTCGAAAGGGATATCTAGGGGCAGGGCTTCAAGATTGTCTGTACCGAATTGAAGGGGAAAAGACACCCTACCTCCTGCCTGGAGGAGAAGAAACTCCGTTTAATACAGGAACCGAGTTTCTCCGTTTAATACGGTTGGCTGAAAAAACCTGGCTATAAAACCATGCCCAGGCTGAGAGAATTGGGCTTTAGTGAGTACCTGGTCAACGTAATTGATAGATACTTTACTGACAGGTCTATAAAGAAAAAGATACCAGCATCAGTTTGTCGCAGCGTGTTCTGCAGGGTACAAAGAGGATGGATGTAAATATAAATGAGAATAAGAGAGAAAGAACAATTAGTAGAGTGGCAAAGAGAATGGGCGAATGATAGTGGAATGGCAAGCTGGACGAAGGAGCTTATTTCCGATCTGAGACCGTGGTGGGAATGTAAGTTAGGAAACTAGACTACTTACTGAGGCAGTTTCTGACCGGACATGGTAGTTTTGACACCTTCACAAATAGAATAGGCAAATCTGCCTCGGCAGACTGTACTGTTTGTGAGGTACCGGACGCTCCCGCACACATTTTTAATGCAGAGATGGACTAATGAGGAGGAAGATTTCGAAAGTCGAATTCGAATCGAAGATTGGAAAGATAGATCTATCTCTCAAACATAAGATGAGATTGGCAAATGCACTTCGCAGGCAGAGAACGTCAAAAAATAATGTCTTTGAGATGTGAATTTTCTCATCGGACAAACGTTTCCATTCTAAACGCACTTGACATTACAAAATGCTATCACAACATGTCTTCTTCCAACAACAATTCTACAGTTCTTTGATCACGTGATTGGCAGAGGTGAGGTTAATTTACAGATAATTGTTTCTGAAATTTCGGGAGAGATTAAGAGGACGGTGACCAACCAGATGGTCTGACCAAATTCAGAATTTAAATTCAGCAGATCACTCATTCTTCGAAACCCTTAGAGCAGCTGAAGATGGAGACCAATAGAGAAAATTTGTTAGGAGTTTTGAAAGAAATCACGATCCTTAGTAATAGGGAAACGACAAGAGGGAGATATAGAGATAAATAGATAGGAGAGATAGAGAGAGAGAGAGAGTCCTACCTCACTAGAGTATAATTGATATTATTTCTGAATTATAAACACCACTCTTGAATTTTTACTTTTGTATGTATAGGGTTTCTCATTATATTTTGAACCCCCACTTATTTTTCTTAATTTCGGGAATACAAAAAAAAGTTTTAAATAAAAGTTGTATTATTTTATCTGTACCGACCAACAGTGTAGCAACAGACCAAATTTTGTATATAGAAAGTGCCCAGTAAAATGCTTCTTCAATATTTAAAATGGTACACCCTGTATTTTTTTATAGTTTTGAGTAGCCCTGCATTTCCTAATTACAAATATTATAACATAGCGTAGCATAAGTTTTGGTCTTTAATGGCATATTACTATACTATACTACTATACTATACTAAGATAAGAAAAAAATATATTTAGAAAAAATATATTTAAAATGTGAATAAAATTAATCCCTCCATTGTTATCAATGCACAAGTAATCTCTTTATCTCAAATTTTCTAATGCGTCAGATATTGTGTTATTATGGCCATTTAAATTTTCAATTTCGACGAACTTTTGCCATGATAGTGTTAATATTTGTATCAGTGCATCCAAATACACTTTTTTTTAAAACCCCATAAAAAGCTATCACATGGTGTTAGGTCGGAAATATTTGGTGGCCATGTAATGGTACCCTTATTGTCGATATTTACATTAAATTGATTATTTAAATGCTCTTGAACGGCTACGAGATTAGGAGGCGGTGCTCCATCTTGTTGCCATATCATACTAGTTAATTGATTTTGTGTATAATTTTGATTTAATAAGTTATTCACTTCGGTAATGACTGTGTCAAAATATGATTCCCCAGTTAATTTAAAATCATAAAACAATGTCCAACTATTTTGTTTTGAAATATTCCGCACCATACATTATTGATTTTCTTCCTGACTTTTTTATTTGCTTAATTTTTTTTATATTATTTTTATGTTCCCATGAATACCTATTTCTTTTATTAAAAATGCCTGAAGTTGAAAAATTTTATTCATCTGTCCATAAAATGTTATAAAACTAATTAGGCTCATTGTTCAAATTTGTCTTGACAGAACTGTAAACGCTCTCTCTTATAAACATCGGTATGTTCTTGTACCGGTAATATTTTGTACGGTTTAGTTGTGCTTTTTTAAAACTCTATGTATCGTCGCACGGCTTTTCTTTAATGCATTAGTAGCATAGTTTAGACTAGTTTCGGAATTTTCATGTTAATATGGATTTAATCTATTATTTAAGTATTTAACTTTTACCCTCAAAGTAAAGCAAAGTATTAAGATCTCCATTATCATTTCCTACGATAGTACGTTTATTCCGTTCAAACATTTTTTTCATTTATGACATGACGATAATTATCTAAAAATGTATTTGCAGAAGGAGTCTGCGATCTGGATAAATCAGCCTATATTATCTTCTTGCCTCTTGCTTTTTTTTATTATTTTTTACATAAATTGAGAATATATCTACTTTTTCATCTGCACTATAACCCATTTCGGTATGAGGACTGACAGTTTATAATACATTATTAATTGTTTCATTTTGAAATGTCAGTTGCATGCCACCTATGGTTACCCTTTTGTAGTACCATATTTATTTTTATTTAGCGTATGGCTACATCACAGGTACATATATAGACAAATATATAAATGATATAAATTACAAACAACAGTAAATTATGTAAATGTAGTACCATATACCATTATAGAACAAAACTAATGATACACAATGTTATATATTATTAATCAGGAAATGCAGGGCTACTCAAAACTATAAAAAAATACAGGGTGTCTCATTTGAAATATTGAAGATGCATTTTAATGGGCACTCCCTGTATACAAAATTTGGTCTATTTTTACGTTGTTGGACGGTACAGATAAAATAATACAACTTTTATTTGAAACTTTTTTTTATATTCCCGAACTTAAGGAAAATAAGTGAAGGGTCAAAATATAATAAGAAATCCGGTACATTGTTTGTATGTAATGTTGTATTTATAAAATTATTCATTTGTTTCTCAAATGTAAATAACATACAATCTATTATATATAATAATAATTTACCCACGTGAGCCAATTGGTGGCAGTGCGATCCAGTGGTATATATAATGTATAAGCCAGCTTTCACTGAAAAAAGGCTGACGGGTCATGATTTTAAATCGAGTTGTTATTGTTTGTCCATCCGTTCGTCTTTCTGTGCGACAACTTTCGAATTAAACTTTGACTCATGGACAAACACATCATTAATTTTATAATAATATTAGTTTCAGTGCTTAACTTACCTATGAATAATTTCGTCATGGACGACGTTAAAACACATGGCAGTGAGCGCCATCCCGGACATTATGTAGATAGAACAAAACCAAATAGTGGTATTTGATTCGTATTCTAAGATATTGGATCCTGGCACCATGTCCCCGAAACCAATCGTCGTTAGGCTCATAAAACAAAAGTAGAACCCATCTAGGAGAGGCCAGTCTTCTAATTTGTACAGGGCGAATGTACCTAAAATAGATCACGAAATTTAAAAAATATACTATAGATATAAATGAAAAATCAAATTTAGAAAAATTCATTTTTTCTTTTTCTCTCTTTCAGTTCTACTGTTCGGATTAAATTCTTATTTTACCAAATCTAAAACATACATTTTTTACTATTAGCTTTTGTTAAGGTCTATGTCTTGATGCATATTTTCAGGTTTACCACATTTAGATCTTTTAGATAATTTAAATCTTCATTTGTACCTTAGGTGTTGTTTTATTTATATACAGATTGAACAAAAAAAATCGGAACATACGAAATATTATGTATTTCGGCTCAATTTTGCTGTAGGTGGTTGGCCAACAAAAGGTTGTCAAATAATTATATTATAAAAATCCAATACTTTAGTGAGCTGCTGGATTCTGAAATCATAAAAATTGAAAGCTACACATAAATCTACGATTTTATTATGCTGTCAAACCAGTTATCGCTTCTTTAGACAAGCCCTTCTTGAGCGGTTTTGTCAAACCTCATTCCTTTACATGTTTCTCAAATAAGGTGTTATCCATAAAATATTTACAAGAAAAAAATAAAATAACTACAAAACATTAAGTTTATTTTTGTTATTAGTCTGTTGTAGTAGATTGGTAAATACAATGAAAAATATAGACAAATATCCGATTTATTTAAAGATACGAAGAAGGTATAACTCTCAAAAAGATCCGCAAATCGGATTATTACACGGCGATTGGCAACATTGTTTTTTTGCGAGACAGATAGTTGAACGATATTTTATACAATGTCTAAACCCAGGTATGGATTTATTTTTGTCCAAGTTTTATATTGGTCCACGATTTCAAATGCAGTTCAAACAGACATATATTAAATTGTATGATTCGTTTTAAATTCGTTCAATCTGTATATACCCGGTATTTAGGCGGCACACGCCCTTCCGGTAGGGATCTATGGAGGAGTATCACCGAGACGCAAGCCCTTATCTCTTGCCGTACTGCTCCACCACAGGCCGATCAGATACCAGCATATTCTAGACTAAGCCGCAGATTCATTTAGAATTTTAAACTGCTGCGTCAGCCTTTTTGTTTTCTGTACACCGAGCTGGGGATTGAACTGACATCTCTCGCACTGAAGCGAAGGAGAAGCCAGCCGCCCAGCCCGCTTGGCTATCCGATCGACTGTTTAATTTGTTATTTTAATTATTTTTGGTGATATTTGTTATTATATTATATCATAGTATCTATATTTTTAATTTTGCTGTCTACAGACTTCATCTTAAGTTCTTTTTATATCATATTGTTACCCACTTGCGAGCAAAAAAGCAAAAAAAAAAAATGACTTACCTTGATGAGTTTTAGTTTATGCTTACTAATTTTATGTTATTACTTTAAATTAAAATAACCAATGCACAAAAATATTGTTTATTATAGAGCTTCCAAAAAATAATTGTTTTATGCAAATTGGCACCGTGTTGTCAAATGTGCCTACTTCTGTATGGCACAGGGAATGCAGCAAATAATGTAGTGGACGTGTTCTATGCAATGTAGACCTCTATGAATTTGTCGGTGATCGTCTAAGTCACTTTTCAAACGTTGACGTTTGTGTACACTTCAAAGTGCACTAAGTGAATATTTTACAAATGGATACTTTACCAGTGAAGGTTGCCCATTAATTGCATTATTACGAGAGGGATATAGTCCAAGGACTATCGCTTGTCACCTATTTATGACGCAGTCTACAGTCTCAAGGGCTTCCCGTCAATACAGGAGACCGATAGCTACAGTCATGCTCGGGTATCTCTTATGGAGTGGACAGTCCTCTGAAATTTGTATTTCCTAAGGACACCAGAGGGCGTAGCATTCGTAGCAAAGCTTTGTGACTGCGCAAAACCGCAACCAACAAAACAGGTACGCCATTTTCATTGTGGTTTCGACGATTCGACACAGTGCTTCCAGTTGCGATTAAATAATTGTTTGTTTTTTGCCATTGTATTTAAATAATTATGGTTTTTAACTGTTGCGTTAATGGTTGTAATAATTACAACCTTATTCTATTGGCTTGTATAATGGCTTATTTGGACAATGGTTAGTTATATTATTTTTTTTTTGTAAAAATATTGTTATAACCTTAAAAACATCTAACATTTAATATATTATCTACGGTGGAAGTTTAAACATTTTCAGAATTATATAATACACAGGCGTTGTTCTAGGGCATTTTCTATAAAATCATACTCATGCAAACTTTAAATGCGATTACCCTACATTTTGGATTTGTACCTATACGTTACTAAGGGTGTTGAACAAATTCCCCTTCGTTGGCTCAGTGAAGATGTTCGTTCAGTTGTAATGGAAACACAAAATAATAGTAGCAGAGTTTATTGACGAGACGTATACTATGGGTGTTGACCGGGATTACTTTGAGTCGAGACTGTTGCAGTTGAGCGTTGAAGACTATCACGTTTGTTGAGTGAATATTGATTGAATGCTTCTCTAGGCAAGAGATTTTAGTTTTATATAAGTTTTAATTGGGTCAATATATTCGTGGACCTAATGACATGTGTTTAAGTTGTGTGTAAATTTTAACTTTCGTCAGCACTTTCGACTGATGTCCAAATTTTATTGTTGATAATTGACCAAATCTAATGTAACCTAATTAACTACGTGTGTGTATTTAATAACAAATAAATTCATTCGGTCTACTGGGTGATAAAATTATACTGTCCAATTTCGGATATGAATTCTGAAGATTTGATATTGGACATCAAAATGAGATTTTTTAGCAGTATGCCGACGATATTAATAGAAAATTTTTGATAATGTATTTGATATAATTTATAGAAACTACAGAATAGCCACTGTTTAACCAACTACATTTAAATACATGTAATTAATGTTTTTAAAAAAAAGAAAGTAGAAAAAGAACCAACGTTTGTTTTATTTTTGTAGTCAAACCCAAACCCTCAAAATTAATCTTTATATTTGAAGAATTACGAGATTTTTTAAAAAGATGTTGCTTTCCTAAGACCGCCAGATGGCGCATTGTCCAGAAATAACCTACACAGTTTCCTGTCTATCCGGTAATATATATTCTTTATCTATGGCTACAGTTGACGAGTAGATTGGGGTCGGCGATGTGTAACGACAGAGAGGGACGATCGCTTCGTTGTCCTGAGTGCCTTGCGGAATCAGCACGCGACAGGAGTTGAGCTTTAACAATCCTTGAGGAATGTATGAGGTGTCACAGTCACTCAGTGGACAGTTAGGAGAAGACTTAAGGCTGCCACTTTGACTCCTAGACAAGCTAACACAGGGCCCAAATTGAACGGACGTCAGAAACACACTTGACTTCAGTTTGCCCGAGAACACGTCAATTAGGACCTTGGCCAATGGAGCAGAGTTTTATTCTCTGATGAGCATCTACTGTACATGTTTAACAATGACAGGAGACGAAGCGTCTATCGGAGGCCGGAGAATGATTTGCCCACTGCTGAAGTGTCGAAACAGTGAGCTATGGAGGTGGTTCATGTATGTTTTGGGGTGGTATATCTTTAGAAGAAAAAACGGAGAATTTTTCAAGAATTTCTTGAATATTTCACTTCGAAATTTTTGGTACCACAACAACTTGGTCATCCTCAAAATTTACGGTTAATATTGTTCTCCGATAATTGAGCGCAGCCTCAATGTTGCAAGATTACATCCATATCTTATCTATGTAGAGATGTTATAGGTTTTGAAAACTTTCTACATTGAGGGTAAATTTTAATCTATATAATTTTTTTTAATTAAAAAGTCTTTTATAAAAAGGTATAATTATTGAAAAGAACCCTTTCGGACTATACCACAGAACGTTTTCGGAATGACTATTCCATCATCAGTACTGCTACTAGGTATACATGACTGAATTCACTAAATATAAGGGTAAAAATCAAATGAAATCGTAGGCTTCCACGTTCGCGCCACGGAGTGTGCCGATACGTCCCGACACGGACAGGTCACCGCGACTATAAATAGGAGCGGTAGCGGAGTAATCGTGTCTCCCTGTCCTGGCATTTGGTTTTCACCTCTGGCTGCGTTGAGTAGTTGAGTTACTGTGACCAAATGCCCATCTTGGTAGTTAGTATTCGCCTCTGGTTACGTTGAGTAACTGAGTTACTGTTGCCAACTACCCATCTTCCTGTTTTTTGTTTCCTTTTCTTTGTTCTCCTGAAGAAGCTACATACAATTGTAGCGAAACGTCGAGATGAACCCACTTTTGGGCCACTCACAAATGACACGGTCCAAACCCGGAAGACGAATAAACTATAAGGGTAAAAATCATTGAAATATTATTAAATTGGTTATATATTATATTTTTGCTGATAATTTTATAGAAAGCTACAGTTCTAAACAGAACTAACTTCATGGTAACGAAAGACTCCTAAACTGGGGTTGCTGACCTTGAAACTTAGTCTCCATAAGGACCTTAGGTAACAACTCCTAGTTATAGTATACAATTATCAGCAACAATGTAATATATAACCAATTTAATAACATTTAAAGGGTGTTTACCCTTAGATTTAGTTGTTTCACACAGAATACCTACTAGCAGCACTGATGATGGAATAGTTCTAACGTTATAATCGTAACATATTTGTTATTTTTCTTTTAATAATTATTTAATTTTAATTTCTTTTGATTTTATTGATTTATTAACTTTATCTGTTATTTTGCTAATTTTATTTTAAAAATAGTTGGCGTCCAATTCTTTAATCAACTAAATATCCTATTTAATATTTAATTTCATTTTCACCAAATATTCTAATTCCTTTATTCAGATCCTATTGAGTTCTATGAGATGATGGAACATATAACCATTTCTATGCCTCACTTCAATAGGCAGTATATCTGTTACTTGGCAACTGTGCTCTATCATGTCACTTCTCTGTCATTGCCACAATTCTGTAGTGGCATATTTTTTATAAATATCGTTCATCTATAAAAAGGCATGCATGGATTGAAAATTCATTT